ATTATTTTTCCAGCAAATGCTGGAATAAGCCAGCAATTGAGTTATATTGACTTACAACTATAATTGGGACCAGAAAATTCATCATTAATTGATGCGGTCATTAAGCGAGACATCAAATGGCCATGATGGTATTCCCTGTCAGCTTCCCCAGTGACTTTGCTTCAAGGAAATCATTTAGGAAGGCCCCAAATAGCCATCACGAGATCCAGGGACCCTGCAACATTCATGAAGGTTAGCCAGTTTCCAAGGGCCCCGGTCGTGATCGTGTAATCACAGGGATGTCCAATGGTCGTAAGCGCGAGGCCTGGGTGTAAGTCCCTTTTTTTCAGTGCCATTTCAACATCTGCTCAACAGTTGGGTCGTAAGGCAAGGACCACCTCTAACACGGGAGGCAGCCACTCAGTTCCAGCGGACGAAGTCTTCCAATCCTTTTTATGTCTTCCTCCATTTTTCCCCGCAGATCCGCTTACCGGCCCGGGGTGAGCAGGATCAGTTCCCGTGTCCTGCTTCGGTTCCCCCAAAGAGTGAAGAATCAAGGAACGGTGGACTTCCTCCCAGTGAAGCCGCGACACCAGTGGGAGTGGCACAGCTGTCACCAGTAAGTGAGCCAAGCAGCGTGGGGACGATTAGGCAACGAGGTTGACCCGTTTATGTTTAATATATATACATTTACCAACAAATAAAGGGAGACTAAGGTAAAGGTAGGGACGTGATGGCTCAGTGATTAAGATGCTAAGCTTGTCAATCAGAAAGGTCGTGAGTTCGGCGGTTCGAATCCCTAGCGCTGCGTCACGGAGTGAGCTCCCATTACTTGTCCCAGCTTCTGCCAACCTAGCAGTTTAAAAGCATGTCAACAAAAGCAAGTAGAAAAATAGGGACCCCTTTGGTGGGAAAGTAACAGTGTTCCATGCGCCTTTGGCGTTTAGTCATGCCGGCCACGTGACCACGGAGACGTCTTCGGACAGCACTGGCTCTTCGGTTTTGTAATGGAGATGAGCATCGCCCCCTAGAGCCAGAAACAACAAGCACGCATTGTCATTCCCGACTCTAGGGTCCTTCCGGCCAATGTAGAAAATTCCTGTTGGGGCCTCATGGAGTTCCAGGCAGTCCTCGACTGATGTCAAGGAAAACAGTTGTTAAGTGAGTCACACTCAGTTTGACAACCTTTTTTGCCATGGTTTTTAAGTGAAACATTACAGTTATTAAATGAATCAGGCAGAGGTTAACACTGCTACCATCGTAAATACATGCCAGTGCCTAAATTCTGATCACACGGCCGTGGAGATGCTGCAATGGTCATAATTGTGAGGACCGGGCTATAAGTCACTTTTTTCAGGGGTTTTAGCTTTGAGCGGTCGCTAAACAAATCGTTGTAAAATGAGGACTTTGCCTGCAGCTTCTAATAACCTTTCTTTCAGGCATTATCATAGCATGGAAGCCTTCAGCAACTATGACCTTCTGGATGCCGTCACCCATGAGAAGGTGGCTGAAGGTCATAAAGCCAGTTTCTGCCTGGAGGACACTTCTTGCGATGCCGGGGTCCGTCGACGCTATGCGTGCACTGCTCATATTCAGGTATGCAATGGCTGACTGGATCTGCCCACCTCCACAAGCCGCGGTGCTTATCCATTGTACATAGATTTTATTAGCTTATAAAATGTTGTTCGTCATAATCCCTTGCGGGGTGAAGTCTGGACAACTGAATGGAGCTGAGTGTTTCCTGGCCGGATACCCTTCCTGTCGCCAATGCGGAGTTTTGTTCGGCAGATATATTTTCATTGTGCCCAGAGAGAGAAATATCTGCCTCTGTCTAGGATGGAACTCACAGCCTCCTGATTGTGAGGCAAGAGCTAGGCCACCTCTAGGCCACCACACCACTCTTATTAGCTTATAAAATAAAATAGAAAAATACAAAAGCAAATAGTAGGTAACAAAGGAGAGGGAAAGAGGAAAGGGGAAGTGTAGAAAAAAAAGGGAAAATGGTGTTGACTTCCAGACTCCCTCTGGTGCAGTAGAATAAGACAGTTACCTCAAAACCTCAACATTTTACTTTTCCATAACAGTATACACTAGCCCCATGATGTTGAACCTGTGGCACACAGACCCATTTGTGTCGGCATGCGAACTGCAGGCAAACTTACCTCACTGGGCATGCGCGCGCCTCACAGCTGATTTTCGGCTGGTTTGAGGCCTTTTTTTGGCTTCCCAAAGGCTTGAGGAAGGCTTCTGCAGGCTTCTGTAGGCTTTGCAGGCCAAAAACTAGCCCCGTTTCGTCACTTTCTGTTTTTCCAAAAATACGTGCGCATGCGTAGGGGGCGTGGGGGGTGGGGTGCACATTGCCTTCTGGGTGCTGGCACGTGAATGTGAGCATACAAGCGCGCATACAATTTTTGGCACAGGAGCCCAAAAAGGTTAGCCACCACTGCACTAGCCATTTCTGAATAACAAATCAATCTCATCGGTAAAACCCAAACTCAACGTTTCTTTTTTTTTTCCCTCCCACCTCGAGCACAAAGTCCATAAACGGTTTCCACGTAGAAACAACGTAGTTGTGATTTTTCTTTGATCAAAACGGCCAATTCAGCCATCTCTGCTCACTCCATCAAAAGTCATTTTATATTATCCATTTTATATAGATTTTATTCGCTTATGAAATAAAATAGGAAAATACAAAAGAAAATAATAGGGAACAAAGGAGAGGGAAAGAGGAAAGGGGAAGTGTTGGTAAGAAGGGGAAAGGCGCGGGGGTGGGGGGGAAACAGCATTGACTTCTGGATTCCCTCTGGTGAAGTAGAATAAGACAGTTACCTCAAACCTCCACTTTTTACTTTTCCACAATATTATAAACTAGCCATTTCTATTAACAACCAATCAATTTAAATCCAGGGTGTCAAATTCAAGGCCTGTGGGCCGGATCCAGGGCCACCCTGGAAACAGTGAAGGACCAGCCCGTGGTGCCTCTGCTAGTGAAAATGGAGCTCAGGAGGACCGCATGTGGCCCTCCCATCGTTTTCAGCACGATGGCCTCCTGCAGCCCTCCCGGCCATGTGTCGCCCTCCCAGGCTCCGTCTTCAGCGCGACGGCCTCCTGCAGCCCTCTGCCAGCAAAAACGGAGCTCACGCGCAGGGGGGGAATTCCTGGAGTTGAAGTCCACACAGCTTCAAATAACCAATGGAAGAGAAGTTGCCTTCAGAAGTTTCATCCCTGGAAACTTTCAAGAAGAGACTAGACTGCCATCTGTCAGAAACGGTGTAGGGTCTCCTGCTTGGGCAGGGGTTGGACTAAATGACCTCCAAGGTCCCTTCCAACTCTGTTATTCTGTTATTTTTAAATTGCTGAAGCAGACTTGAGGCGAAATTAGGTTTATCGTAATTCTGCTTTCTGCTGATGGATTGTAGCTGCCTAGAGTTTGTGTGTAGGACTGGCGGCCATATGCGATTCCTCCATAAATAGAAATAAATGTCATTTTTTTCCCTTTCTGCTCAGGGTCTGAGCCCAGGCTGCTACGATACCTACCATGCCAATATTGACTGCCAGTGGATTGATATTACCGATGTCCCTCCTGGAAATTATATTCTCAAGGTAAATCCTCATCATCAGTGAATTTTGTCCCATTGTTATGACCTTTCTTGCCACAGTTGTTAAGCGAACCACCGCCGTTGTTAAGTTGGAAACACGATTATTAAGTGAATCTGGCTTCCCCGTTGACTTTGCCGGTCAGAAGGTCGCAAAAGGGGATCACGTGACCCCAAAAATTGCGACCATCATAAACACAAGTAGTCCTCGACTTACAACCACAACTGAGCCAAGAATGTATGTGACTAAGTGAGCTTTGCCCCATTGTATGAACTTTCTTGCCACTGTTAAGTGAAACACTGCATTTGATAAGCTAGTAACCCGGTTGTTAAGCGAATCCGGCTTCCCCATGGACTTCGCTCATCAGATGGTCACAAAAGGGGATCACGGGACCTTGGGACACTGCAACTGTCATAAATATGAGCCAGCTCTCAAGAATTCAAATGTAACTCATCTGACCACAGGGATGCTGCAATGATCATAAGTGTGAAAAACAGTCATAAGTCCCTTTCTTAATCGCCATTGTAACTTCGAATGGTCACGAAACAAACTGTTGTAAGTTGAGGACTACATGAGCCAGTTGTGAAGCATCCGATTTTTGATCACATGACCACGGGTTGCCACGGGCATAAGTGTGAAAAACGGTCATAAGTCACTTTTTCCGGCATCCGTTGTACCTTTGGTCACTCAGTGAACTGTCGTAAGTTGAGGAGTACCAGTTTTGCCCTAATTTTGAGCCACTATCTGTTGCGGGTGATGAGGACAAGGATAATCCTGTCTGTTGTGGGGTAGTGAGGACAA